CGCTTTGAGCACGTCACACATTTATTTTAAGTTGCGCCAAACTTTTAAAAAGAAATGTAACTTGTTTACTATTTCTTAGCGTTTCTCGAGGAACTCTTTCCTTTTGTTTATCACCTTATAAAACCATTGGTGATGTTCTTGGTAAAGTATTTGCATCATTATGAAATTCAAATTTTGTTTGTATGTGATACTTCAGAAGAACACAGTCACAGTCACATGAAAATGTTTGCCGAAAGATCCAGCAGTAAAATATGTCAGGTAATAAATAAAACAAATTTGTGTTAGGAATGCTATCTCTATAAACATATGATTTCTTTTTATCAAATAACTATGTTTTCGAAAAATTTGCATAGTTCGCAAATGAGCAATAAAATATCTAAGCATATTTTGAGACACGTATGAATTCTGAAATTTTCTGAAGAAAAGTGGCACTAATCAGCTATGGATTTACCGGTTCCAACAGCCCACTGTCTAATTTAGAACATAAAGAAAATGTAAATTATTTTAAACGACAAATATTTTAGTAAGTTAATGACCATTTATAAATAACGAGAATGATAACTAAGTTCTTTGCATAGGGTTAAACTTGCCCTAGTGAAGTCATTTTTGTCCTATAACCTAACAGACGTGAAGCAAGTTACCGCTATGTCTGAGATAACTGACAAAAAGATTATGATAACTTTTTTATGTAAATAGAACTACGAACATAAGCAAGCCCGCGCCGTCAATAGGTGCAGGATCGTGCGGGGCACGACGGCGCTGAGTCAAAACGGCGCACGGCAGCTTTAAAAACAAGCAGTCCGTTTCGCTGCCTGTCTGAACAGGAAAATTCTTGTCTTATTCGAACCCAGTGGCGTAGCTAGGGTGGGGCAAGAGGGGACACTTGTCCCCGGGCGCAGCATCCAGGGGGGCGCCAAATTGATGCTACGAAATTTTTTAATGAAATGTTTTCCATTCTTGTCACACAGAAAGGGGCGCAAATTCTTCAGTTGTCCCCGGGAGCTGGAATCCTAGCTACGCCACTGTTCGAACCCCCCCCCGGGGGGTTGACTCAGGAGAATTCCTGGGAAGCACTGGCTAGGATCTGTACTCAGGCAGTCTCAACCACGGGGCTATATAATTTGACTTCAAAGGACTAAAGCCCACGTTCACTCGGAAGTTGGTTCGGGCTTGGCAGGGACCGTACTGGTACTATCTCGTCCGTTCCTTCGATTGTTGTGGAGCTAGATGTTGATCTCTTGTCTGAGTCCTTTGGAATTTGGGCTTCGTAGTCCCAGTGACAGGGACTGACAGTGTGGGCAGAGCACCAAGCCTTTGTAATCGATGCTGTTGGAGTGGTGCTCGGAGGCAAAGATTTCTTAGCGTTGTCGTTTTATTTCTAACTTCTTTTTGTCAAAGTGTTTTACAGTTCTGTACCATGTTTGGCATAAAGCCGGGCAGGGATTGTAGGGTCTGGGCCGCCTTGGACGAAGTCTCTGGAGCTTGGGTAATTGAAACTCTGATATGGTAGTTCTCTTGAGGACCCTGGGCCGGAGGTCTAAGATCTAGCGCTCTAGCTCTCTGTCGTGTTCGAAAGTAAAAATACGTGATGCCGATGCGTATATAAGGATAGATAGATGCCAGCGCTCTACATACGTTCCACAAATTGCTAGTAGACAAATTGCAAATTGTAGAAAACTTTAATTTGTGCAACGTTTATCTTTTTTATGATTTTTTGTTTGGTAATTGCTTGTTATAATCGTTATTCTGCATAAAAAAAGGTGCACCGTGGAAAAAAAGGGGTGGACAGTTCTATATCTCCCGTTCCATGGGCCGATTGACAAAATTCAACTTGCGTTTTTCATGTCTCGAAAGCGCGACTTAGGATATATATTAGATTTATATACAGCATTATTCTAATATAGGTATTATGACATAAAATTGGAATTTTAAATTCTTAAATGACATGCAATTTTGTTTCCATATTTCGGTTCTACGACTCAAATTGTGGCAAACTGCCAAGTTTTGTAAAAATGGCACGACTAGTTGTTAGAAAATAAGCTCTCAGAAATTTAGCTCCTCAATGTTAATTGAATTTGATATGTATTTATTAATATCTCTTATTTGTTTATTTTATTTTATTCTTCCTTTTACATTTCGAAATTTAGGTTTATTCCAAACAAATTTCGCCCATTTTTATGATTTAGTTTTAAAATTTGCATTTTTAAATAATTTTTATAAATTTTTCGAAAAGCATTATGTATTTATAACCTATAAAATTTTTACCTTGATCTTAAAGTAGATGTATCTTTAAAAACCTGAAAAAAATAAGAGTTTTTTATTCAAAATTTCCTAAGATATACGGGAATTTTTGGCACGTTTTGAAATTTGGCATATTTGTTATACGTGATAATAACGCCAAATGTGGTTTACGCACTTTGTTAAAATTTTTTGAAAAGTATGAACGGTTACTTTTTTTTCGCTCGTATTTAATGAAAAAAAGGAAAGGTTAATAGGTTAATAGGAAAATAGGTTACCATAAATTAAGAAGTTCGCCAAGTGAATTAATTATTCTTAGCGCACACTCCAATAACGAAAGCAGAAGAAAAAGTAAGGCAAACTAAGTAATATCATAATTGGTTAATTAACACAAATTTCATAAATTTATTTATTTTCTAGTAAATAAGGAAGGTATGTGATGATGAGTAATGAATAAATTAAATTGAAGTAATTTAATTTTTTAAAAATACAAATTAAATGTAACTATAAAACTGTTAAAAATACATTTCAAAAAGCATGCGAACGATAGCATATTAAAAGCTTAGCTTATATCACTTATTCCTTGCAGATAAGGAACTGGTAGTGTGACTCACGATCTGTTAATCGTAAAATGAGTTAATATGTCAAGGAATGTAGTTGCTATGATTATAATTAAAATATAAAAACTATAAAGAAATTGGCATTGAGTGAAAGAAACAACTGAACAGTGGTCAATCTATCGAAGATTAAAATACACCGAAGAAAGCAAATTCTTATGCGGTCAACAAAAGATCCCAAGCATCGGGTATCAGTATTTTAAGGTAAATAAAAATTTGAAATACATTTAAAGGAAAAATAAGAAAGAAGCATGCAATTGAAAGGATAAGGATGAGCAAATAATGCAAAGATATAGTAGTCAGATAAATAGAAAATGACCATTTTCTGCATGAGAAAAATATCCAATTTGGTCGGTGTTGATGAGAAGAGATAATATTGGTATGATTGCATCAAGAACCTAGAATCCAATTAATTTTAGAAGATAAGCGAAAAAAGGTAGAAAGATGATACGGCATGTTTTGGAAAGGTGGGAAACCAATAACCACATAGCCGTTAGTATTGTGACTGTTCTGTGAACATTTAATTCCTTTCAGGATACAGATATTATTAATCTTCGGCAACCACATATTTTCTGCGAAACAACGGTTAATGACTTGCATTTAGGTCAGAAAAAATAATGATTTCGAAAAGAAACAGTTAATATAGAATAATCATCAAGAGATGAAGATCTATGTCTGAATGAAAATGACTATGTACTATCTGCCAATGAATGTGAACTCACATAGTTCGTTCACAGCAGTAATAAACGTAGCTTTTGTAAATTATTTAGAAATAACAACACCACTTATGAAATAAAACAAATTATGTAAAAAATAATTAATAGTATATTAAATCGAATTTTACTTATTTAAGATATTTTACTTATTTATTAAAAAATAGGTGTACAGTTTATTCTAAAATTTTAGCTCATAATAATAATTAGATGAAAGAACATTTATAATTTTTCTACAGCTAAGAATGGTCAATATTTCATACTCATTCTTTTAGCCATAGCAATCTAATAATTTATATCGATTAAAATTAGTTTTATTTAAAAACTTATCATTTCATTTACAGTCTTTTTATTTCGCAATGATATTTTTATGAAATGATCAGTGTATTCATAATTTATTTCCCACAGAAAATAGAAGCAGTTTCATATTATATTAAATATGAAGCTTATTGGTTCATTTGTTTAACCTCCTTTTGACGTTAAACTCAGACAAAGAATTAGTTTATAAAATAGATTTATGTTACAATGATATTTCTGTATTTTTCTATTACATGTGTTCGATGGCTCAGAACACATTTTTCTAAGTTATTTTTTTAACCCTTTACAGGTATTTTGCCATAGTTCTTTGAATCTGGAACTTTGGTTATGTAAGAAGGGTCACTTATTTGTACCGGGCCTCCAATTAATTAACTACTTGCAACTAAATTTAGATTATGTTGTTGTACGTTACTTTATCCTTTTATATATGTCAGTTATGAACTGTTTATACTTATACTTCAAGTCATTTCTTGTGAACTGTTTGAATTATTAAAATAGCTAAAATAAAACAATGTTCTACATTCTTCAGCTGGCATACTTCGAATTCAAATCAAGATGTTGTAGAGGTTTCAGCGAAATTTGAACCCGTGATCCTTTATCTAATATTCTGTACATTATTCTACTCCTATAAATACCAAGAATCACTATATTCATAAAATTATATTTTTAACATTAAAAAGATCACAAAGCAGTTTTGACAGTATTTTTTCAAACATTTATGCAAATAGACTTATTTCACTTTTAATAAAAATCGCGTGTGACATAAATGTATATAGTAAGTCAGATCTCTCTTTTTTTTTTTTTTTTTTTTTTCTTGATCTTTTCGCTCCGTAAGTGTCGTATTAACAGGCTATGAAGTCACTCGCATTATTCAGTTACGTCAATTTGATTCGTTAAAAATAATTATATTTTTAATAACTGAATGGCCAAAAGCTGTCATCAAAGTTCTCAAAAGGAGTTCTTGGCACTTAACGGAGGAAAATGAATTTATGTTGAAAATGAGGTTGAAAATTAATTTTTGAATAATAAGACAGATTCATTTCTTAAAAATTTTTAGAGGTCTGTTAACTAATAATAATTTAATTGTATGAAGCAAAAATACACACTCAAAACGGTGATTTTATACACATTTATTTTTATTAAACAAAATACAAATAACATATCTACACGCATTAAAAAAAGCAACAATTCAATTGTCATGAAAGACAGCTATATTTCTTTTAACTCTTTTGAACCTATAAATAATTTGTCCAAGTATCACGTTCAATTGGTGGAGTTACCTCTGTTTGCATCAAAACTGAAATAGCAGCGAACACAATATTGTAATGATTACATAATAAACATACATGAAAAATGGTAATGAACTCTATGTGCACCTTCAAACACAAATCTAATTCTATAATACTGCTTCAAAGAAGAAAATTTCATTTTAACATAGATAATTTTATTATTCTTAAAGAACACATATATCATAGAAAAGAGGATTTAAACAGCAAATAATTTTTTATGTATTGTATTTTCCTTTATCTTTTTAGGACTGTATGAACAGCTGAAAATTTTATGATTGAAACCACACAAAACAAGAGAATTGTTCCGTTCACTTAAAAATTAATACGCTGTTATTGTGTTGCAGTTTTCTTAATAAACATAACTCCGCTAGTGCTCACCGATTGTTTACCGATTGTTTCAACGTTTTCAATGTCAAACAATGGCTAACTTAAGGGAAATGTTTGGCAATTGCCTTAATTTTCCCATTTTTCAAGCTTTAGCTACCTATCACGATCGGCAACTTCAAGTATAAGAATATATTTCTACTTATTATTTAATGTATAAAGCTATATTGTTTACTTTAAATAGCACGAATAATTTAGGAATTACATAAAACGCTCCCTCATAAAATGCTTTTCCGACCTTTTCTATTTTATCAGCCTTCTATAAGTATTGGATGCTGCTTAATGTGGACGGAATAATTATAGAAAAGCGTAAATTATATTTTTACTATGCACGAACATTTTCATGCTTCTGGAACACTTTTCAGAATTACTTCTAGAAAGCGACTGTTTCTGAATATGCCATATCGGAGTTATTTTTGGCGGAAGTTTTATCGTTATCACATCCGGAGAAGTCAGTAGAGATATTTCAACGACAGTCAGTTCTATTAAAAAATGACGAAAACAACAGATTATGCCGTTTACTTCTTCTCTGGGGATTCTTTGAATTACTCTGGACGGTAGATATAACCCATTTTAGTATTATAAAAAAGTTGACTAAGCAAGCACTCCCTTCAGTATTAAGTATTGCTACATAGAATGACAGTGAAGAAAGTAAAGAAAGTGTGATCTAAAACATCTTCATCATTTTCAGTATTACGACACAAAACTTAATGATTAATTTAAAAACCAAGTCCAACAAAGCTCCAGCCACCAAACGGGCTTTAAGTATAAATCGATAGTTATTCTATCACACAGCCAAATAAATTTTCATCGTTTCTTTTAAGAGGCTACGCTGTGCACATTTACTTGAAATTTGCAAATGTCAAATGCATATCACAATAGAGACGAAGAAGCCATTTTCAGACTTCTTCCAAGCAGATCATCAAGATCAAGTTCAAAAGTCAATTCAAGGTTTAAGTTTCTTGAACAGAGGTTCTAACACCCACATTAAAGAACATATCAGACACATAATTCCAAGAGTAGTGAAGAGATGGTCATAGGTTCCAACATTATCCCGAAAATAACCTGAAATTAAAAGAAACATTTGTCAGCAATGTTATGAATTTATGGAATACCTTTTATAAGTTAAACTATACGTTTTGTGGCTTATAGTTTAAAAATACAATTGATAACAGAGCTAAAAGATACTTCTACGATGTTTATCACATTATGTATTTCACTATTACAAACGTTTGGCCCATCACTGGCCCAGTAATAAGATCACTATACACTGATAATTTCATTTGGGCTTGATTCTTGGCGAAAAGGCTGGCTGCATGAAAGTTTTCTCCATTTCTTTCCACATGTAATGTGAACATGAGACAGTTTCCCGTAGAGCATCTTCCAGGAAAGCATTCTTACTGAGATAAATAGACCTATTAAGGTAATCTAAATAATTTAATTCATTATTTTATTAATATTAATGCATCGTACCTCGTTCCTTAAAACATTTTTACAATGTTTTCATTTGATCTTTCAAGGCTACACCAAATTTTGGAGAGATTAAATAAGGCAGAATAATTTTGTTGAAATTCATAACAGCGAATACAGTTTATGACTAATTTTTAAATTCCTGAAGAATGAAAACCGGTTATTTTTAAGAGCAAATATGCATGTTAGAAGGAAATTTGCTGTTGCTATCATACACCGTACCTCATTACTAAATTTTGAACATGTCAGTGAGTTTGTGTTAAAAATGTTGAAATTAAATCCAAGTCATCAGTAATAAAAATTTTTAGTTCATTTCGAAATAGCATATAATATATGTATTACAAATCTCAGCTGTAAAATGTATCAAGTATATTTTATTTTTTGGGAATATTTTCAACATCGAATATTTTAAGACGATCTTTTCTTTCTAAATTTTATATTTACTGCGTGTCGAATTCTAACTATAGAATTGACTTTTATAAAGGTAAGAATGCTGTTGCTAAGAAAATCATAGGTGGGGAATTTCATAACAGAAAGAAACAAAGATTTTGTTTGAAAAGTATAAAGATAACTGTTAAATTTTGCTCCTGTGTGTTCCAATTAATATTAAAAGCAATAAACTGAATATTTAATAAATTAATGTATGCCAATTTGGGGATTGAAAACTTTTTTGACAATTACTATAAACTATATTATTAGTTAAAGTACGTTTTTTACACTTTTCTGCTATACACAGCATATAAAATGTTTGCAAATTGACTTTGACTACACTTAAAGAAAGGAGAAAGCAGTTAATTTTTAAGTTCCGTTCTTTCTACACAGTTAACATTCTAACGAAATGTTTAAAATAGCGATTCTCGGGATATATATTTTAAGTAACACAGTAATACATGGGCTACATATCTAACACATATATTTCGAAAGCTTCTTAGTTTTAAAAATGCATACTAGAAGTCGTCAGGAAGAGTATTAAAATCGCACGAAATAAACACTGAAAGGCTCCCATATGATTAACTACTGTTATAAAAATAATCTTAATACTTCTACTAATGTTGTTATTTTTAAGTTCTATTTTCGCATTACTGTAACAAATCGTAATTTTAGAAATGTAACTGTAACAAATCCTAATTTTAGAAATGTAACTGTAACAAATCCTAATTTTAGAAATGTAACTGTAACAAATCCTAATTTTAGAAATGTAACTGTAACAAATCCTAATTTTAGAAACATTGGATCTAATGATTGTATTAATTTTTTAGTATAAATTAGTATCCTTCTTGACATCAACTGAAGCTCCCTACATGAAAACACAAACTAATCCTTCTTATAAAATGATTATTAGGTATAACTTTTAACATGCTTCACTACTGAAAAATGCTTCAATACCAAAATATATTATGTGATAGATTATGTGATATGTTATACCATGCCTCAACACAAACGGGCTATGTGGCGCTTCCCAAAACAGCGAAGGATGACGACACGTTGCCTCCTGATTCTTATAGGGTGATAATCACAGGCGAGACAGAAACAGAATTCGTCGCTCAGAACATTTTGCATCTCATGCAGACTTGGACAATAAATCTACCTCAGGGCACTGTATGTATATACTGTAGCATCCGAGATCTCCGGCCACTTTGCAACAATGTATAGCCAGTCGCGAATGACATCTAATGCGATGGGATTTGCGTTCTTTTATGCTTATTTCCCAGCCTCCAGCCCAGTATGCTTATTTCCTTTCTAGAACACTGCATTTGGTTATGGCAAAGCTCAGAGGGCAGAGTTCATGGATAACTTTCTAAGAAACGCCAGCTCGCATCTATGTCACAGATTGGGGAAAACCATGAAAAAGCCCATGCAGACAGCCCATTTGCCTGGAATCGTATCCAAGAGAAACTACCCGTGTTCAGCGACTTTACCGCTCAGCCGCTAGTGGACCCACTGCCTCTAAGTACGATCGACGTTTGTTATTTTAACTTTGCATTTCTTTTGCAATACGGCGAAAGGAACACCTAGACCTACAATGAAACGTCTCATAAACGTCCCATTTGGAAATCGCATACTAAAAAGGTACTGACACTGACATTTCTTGTTAATTTCCAGTAACACTTCTTTCGGCCGTCAGCACATCTTGGATGACGGCATTACATATGAGTTGTCTGCATAAATACGGAAATTCTGTAAAGAGTGTTTTTATATGCAGTTTAAAAGATATCAAATCTATTAAAGCTGTTAAATTCCTTTGAAGGCTGAAAAGTTTTAAGATATAGCCAAAGTTAATAACAGTTATTTTAAAGTTAAAGCTCCTTTCCCGTCTCTTCTAATTTCAGCTTATAATTCCTTACTAGAATGAGTTTTAAAATCGCGTTAAATGCAAATGAGTAGTAGACATTATTTAAGTCGAAGTTCCACTAAAGAATTTAATTTCCTGAGTAGCGCGCGTTTGCCTTTGGACTACGTCTCTCCAAGCTGTTACTAGAGCTCGGCCGTATTACGCGCCCTTGATACTGGCTTGGCTAGTTAATTTAATATTACGAGCCAACTAGGTTAGAATTTGTGTTAGCTCCGGCTAAATCTCTTTAATTAGTCATTAGTTAAGTTCTTATTTCTTATATTTTTGAGTTTAAGCCCAAGTGGAGGCCTTGTTGTACGTCCTGAGAACGGAAGAACTGCACATCTTTATTTTGAGCAATAAACGGTAATTAACCCTTCTTGAGTTTTACGTTTCTGTTTCTGGACTTAAGCGATTATTCACTTAGCAGTTCACTAGGTTCATCCACACTTAGTTAATAGATAAAAGGGAGATTCCCTACAAGTTACTTTTTAAAACATAAGCGAATAGAATATCGTTTATGATAATTTTCACATTAACATTAAAAAGTTTCTTCAACCTCACAAAAATTGACTGTATAAAATAAGAACTTTGATTTAAACAGAATCAAATATCACGTCTAATTTTAAAACAAAACTCAGCACCTCATGCTGAAAGGTCATTAAGTACACGAAACGGAATAAAAAGATTACGGGAATTGTACATCAATTAATCACATATTTTGATAAAAATCTACGCCTGTCATTCACCGTTTCTAACTTAATTGGTGAAGTGCGGACATTCTTGGAAATAATGAACCATGAACGCCACTGATGCATGTCGAGACTTAACAACATAAATACACTGATGGCTGAAGTTACTCATAGAATAGATAATAAGAAATGAAGCAGAACTTAAAGACTAATAGTAACGTACGGTATCTTTTTTCAGTGGATACGCTGATGCTAATGAATTATAAATACTTCATCAATAATATGAATCATCATAAGGCCAATAAAACTAACGTTTTTTATTGCTTAATGCATTGTATGTATTGTAATATATTGTATGTCTGCGGTAATTTTGAAACTCTGCTTATTCTGAGGTGCCAAATGGACTTCCTTTTTTAAACGGTTAAATTAAATTGCTGTAGTTGTATTCTTTATCAGTAGACTTCCATTTTTGAACGTTTCGTTCAGTAATTTAATTGTTCGTGCACTTAATGCTTCATAAATAAATGTATGGGACTCATTATAAGCAAATGGCAAAGAAGTTAAATTTCTTGTAATGAAGAAATAAATATAATTACTTACAAAGAAATTACTTCCTAACTTAATATAGACATAAAAAGATAAGATAGAGATAATCTAAGATAGCTGATAATAATCTCTAAGATATTTTTTTTAAATATCATCGCAAATAATGTTAATTATTCGTTGAATATTATTATTAAATTCTTCGCAAAACTTAACTTGTTTATACAGCACAACAGAGAACTTTACAGTTTGAATGAAGGAAAAAAAAAATATTTAAATAGAGCGTTCTGTGCAAAATTATTGTTCAAATAACGCAGCAGAGCTTTTAATCTATCGATTTCTTTAGATAATCTTAAAATAACTCAATAAATATATAGTTTTAAGTTTAGTTTCAAGACACTCACCGGTGTTTTAATGCAATTTGTTTATTTCGTATGTTTATCTGATTTTAAAGTATGTTAGAAAACTCGACGTTTTGATTTCAGATTTTATCGAAATCTATATAACAAACGCATTTTAAATTAGTTTACGAGCAGCTTGCGTTCTATTTAATACAAAGTGCTGATAATGCACAGCTTTACCCCTTAAGATATGGGTACATAACGATACTTTTTCATTAAACGGTATTTGCCGATACATCATCAATTTATTAGCATACAATGAAATACAATACAATATTGGAATTTCAATAAAACAGGTTTTTTTTTTTTTTTTTTTTTTCTTTTTTAAATTTCTGGCACATAATAACTTCTAAAGTCGCCAAACGCTCGCTGGAATCAGAACCAGCGGTTATATATTTTACGATGTATCGGTGCATGCTCGCTAATTATACAAGTATTAAATATACTAACAGATGCTTTTGACTTACATTACGAACAAAAACATAAGTCTAGATTTCTTTTAAAGTATTAATCTTTTTACAAGGTTGCTATATATCTACCTATATATTTAGTATCTCATGATTTACTATGTATTTAACTTACCTTTGCATACTTGATTTACATTTTTGCAAACATATTTAATTTACA